CAATGTGCAGTAAGATCAAAATATCGATCATGTAACTTTTTCTTTAGAGCGAAAAATTTTATGTATGTATGCATGTACACACATACAAAAAATTTTTACTTTTCACGCTAAGGAAAAAGATACGTAATCGATACTCTGAGGTCTATTTTTTGTAGTTGACTATAAGATTTTTTTGTAGTTGAGTGTACACTTTTGGGACTTAAAATGACAAAGGTGTATATTTGATATTTATCGAAAGTACCGATGAAATACTATCTATTATCTAGAGATCTTTTTCTCTATAGACTTTTTTTTTAGAAGACACTTTTTCAAAATCCAGTTGGATACCCGGAAATATCGGATATCCAACTCGAAGAAATTACCTTCTCGGATATCCGATCGGATATCAGATATCCGATGTTACATTCTGTCCGAATATCCGATATTCGGTATTCGGTAATTTTATGTATCCGGTACATATCCCTAATTAAAAAAATATGCGTACTTATTTATACAGTACATTTATATGTACATAATAAAAAGTACAGTATATTTATATACATAATAAAAAAATCACAAATTTAATAATAAATTATCGAAATATATATGTTTATAATCGTAAATTTTTATTAATTGTTAGTAACATCATCATTCTTTAATTATCATTGGGCCCCCGGGACTTCATTGATAGTCACGAAAATTTGGCCGATGGTCTTTAATAGTATTTCGTCAGTGATTGTGGTAAATGGGATAGTCACTGAAATATAACAGTGGAGTCTTATGAGACGTATTTGCCGCGTATCGCGTAACCAATTAAAAGTGATCCACTGTTGTAGTTTTGCGTTTTACTGATTATTGATTGGTTACGCAATATGCTTCATGGGACGCCATCCTTAATTTCGGCAATACGTTAAAACCAGAGAGAGAACATGACTGATGGAAATAGATAGCTGAAATTGCTAAAATAACTAAAATCTATTGAATTAATCAAGATTTCAATGATTTCAGCGATTTATTTCCATTGGAAGCATTGCAAAAAAGTGGAAATTGTTGCGTAGTTAATATCCACTTCTTCAGAGGGCAGTAGTGCGCGGCAACATTTTGCAGTTACTGATTTTGAGCCGTCATGTTTTCTTTCAGGTTTCTCTCTGGTTTTAACGTATCGCCGAAATTAAGGGTGGAGTCTCATGAAACGTATTTGCTGCGTATCGTGTAACCGCGTAACCAATCAATAATCAATAAAATGCGAAACTACAACAATGGATTCGCTTTTGATTGGTTACACGATACGCAGCAAATACGCTTCATGGGATTCCATCCTTAATTTCGGCGATATGTTAAAATCAGAGAGAGAACATGACTGATGGAAATAGATAATTAAAATTGCTAAAATAACTAAAATCTAACTAAAATCTAATTTTATTAAATTAATCAAAATTTCAATGATTTCAGCGATACGCGGCAAATATGTCTCATGAGATTCCACTCTTATATTTCAGTATTATAAACATATATATTTCGATAATTTATTATTAAATTTGTGATTTTTTTATTATGTACATGCTATATAAATAAGTACGCATACTTTTATAATTAAGGTGCAGGGATATGTATTAGATGCATAAAATTACCGGATACCGAATATCAAATATTCGGACAGAATGTAACATCGAACATCTGATATCCGATCGGATATCCGAGAAGGTAATTTCTTCGAGTTGGATATCTGACACACATTTCCGGGTATATGACTGGGGATTTCGAAAAAGTGTCTTTTAAAAAAAAAGTCTATAGAGAAAAAAATCTTTAGATAATAAATAGTATTTCGGTGCTTTCGATAAATATCAAATATACACCTTTCTCACTTTAAGTCTCAAAAGTATATACTAGTTAACTACAAAAAACAGACTTCAGAGTATCGATTATGTATCTTTTTCCTTAGGGCGAAAATGTGAAAAGTAGAAATTTTTCACGTCTATCACAATAGATGCGATTAACCAATTCCAATGGCCGATTAAGTTTGTTAAATTGACCTTTAAGATGCTAACATGGACCTTTGATTAGTTTGTGAAATCTTAAAGCGGTCTTGAAAGTAAGAATCGACTGTGAATACCGGCTTAAATGTTATAAATTTCTATAGGTTATTTATATTACAATTTAATATAAAATTTTTTCATTGGTGGCACACTGAAAAATTTTTAGGTATCGGTCGATATGAATGGACATGCTATCGAGACGTGGACTAATAGCATACTCCGATTATTTAATACAGTAGAACCCTGATTAACCGACCTTACATTATCCAACCCCTGGGTTATCCGACTTTGTTATCGATTATAGCGCTACCGTACAGAGATGGAAGACGCGGCTTCTCTGAAAGATAAATGGAAGGGGTACATATACAAAAAGAGGCATATATATGTGCATCAATGTGCGCTAGGAGATACGCACACAAAAAAGAAGATGACCTATGTGATATATACGTGTTTCTTTGTGTGTATCCCCTCTACCTATTCTTTGAAGTCGTGTCTTTCGGTATCACTATTTTAACGTATACGCCATATTTATTTGTTTCATTCGTCCTGTAAACACGTGCAATGGCTCCAAAACGCAAGAAAGTCTGTATTCCACTTGAAACAAAGCTTCGAGCTCTTAAACGCATTGATAGAGGGGAGTGTCATAAAAAGGTTGCTGCCAAGTTTGGTGTTGGGCGAGTCACCGTTGGTGATTGGATACGCAATCGTGCGAAATTGATGGCGTGGAAGGAGAAAACAAAATCATCTAATGAACGTAAAGCAATGAAGTTTACAGAACATACAAAAGTGGAAGAAGCATTATTTTTATGGTTTGTGCAACAAAGAGAAAAAGGTGCTCCAATTTCAGGATCAATATTACAGGCAAAAGCTTTGTCATTATATTCGCATTTCCTAGACGAAGCTGAGAAAGAAGAATGTTTTGTAGCCAGCAATGGCTGGCTTGATAGATGGAAAAAGAGATATGGTATACGACTTATGCAATTTAATACTCGTGGAGAAAAATTCTTTGAAGACGATGACGTTGTGAACGTTTTCAAAGAAAAGTTCAAAAAAACAATCAAACGAGGAGGTTATTCTTTGGAACAGATTTATAATTGTGACGAAATAAGTTTGAATTACAAAATGTTACCTAATAAAATCTTGGCATGGCATGAAGAATCATTAGTTCCGAGTAACAATCGAAACAAAGAAAAAATAACCATATTAGCATGTAGTAATGTCTCTGGGAATCATAAGTTACGTCTTACGGTCATTGGAAAATATGCAAATCCTCGGGCATTAAAAAATCTAACAACTTCAACAATGCCGGTTTACTATAAGAATCAGAAAAATGTATGGATGGACACTACGATCTTCAAATGGTGGTTCCATAAACAATTTGTACCCAAGGTTGAGAAACATTTGAAGAAGATGAAACTTCCAAGAAAGGCCATTTTGTTTATCGATAATGCACCTGCACATCCAAACGCAGCTATGCTATATGATGGCGATATCATTGTAAAATTCTTTCCAACTAATGTGCAGGCATCATTGATCCAGCCCATGGAACAAGGTGTTTTCGAACATTTAAAACGGCTATACCGATTTCATCTCTTAACATTTCTTTTAGAGGCAAGTGAAAGCGGTCAAAAATTGACCGATAGTCTAGAGAAAGTCAATTTAAAGAAAGTGGTGTTTTGGGTAGCTCAATCATGGAAGGAGATAAAATCAGAAATTTTGAAAAAGTCATGGAATAAGCTTTTCAATTTTTCTGAGAAAGAAAAAGATTTGGAAAATATTGACTTACCTAAACAAAAAGAGGAATTACGAAATAAATTATTTGAAATGGCAAAGTCCCTCCTTGGACCGGAACAAGTTATGGAAACAAATATTGAAGAATGGATAACAGGTGATGACAGAGAATTAGATTATACGGATGCAGAGATAGTGGCCCTTGTCGAACAAAAGTCTTCAGAAGAATCATCGTCAGAATCTGATGAAGAAGTAGTTGAGCCGATTGAGCGGAAAATTTCTCACTCAGATGCTGTGTCCGCTCTTAAAATTGTACTGGCATACGTAGAACAAGAAGAGGCCACATCACCCGATGTGTGTACGTTGAAAAAATGGCGAGATATTGCAGCGAAAAACAGATCAGCAGCACTCCGAGAAACTAAAAGATCTAAATAGAGAAATATAGAGAATTCACATCCATATATATCTTTACTATATATATATTTATATATTTGATCTTCCTATATATATATATGTATATTGTATCAACGAATTGTTATATTTAAAAAATTATTATGTTTAAGAAAAACAGAATTGACTGTATTTAAAGATGTAATTAAAGAACAAAATTGATTATGTTTTAAGATGTAATTAAAATAATTTCTATCTAAAATATTTGTTTTTTTAATAAAATAAAAATGATCTCCTTTTCATTAGTCAAATAATCAAAGTTCTACTGTTATATTTTATTTTTACTATTATATTTTATTTCTGTAAAAGTGTGCTTTTAAAATGTTTATTATTTATGCTGTTTGAGTAAATCATCCACTTTTTATTTGAGATACTGTTTCAGCCTATTTTTTATTGCTGCTTCCAGATACAAAGTTGTGGTTATTATATCGATCATCCAAAAATTAGGACAAAACGTGCAAATAAATTTTGGTAAGTTATGGGACATTCAGAGAGACACGTACTCAACCCATGTAATTGAAACTGTAGAATTTGCTGCGATGGGTCTCGTAGTGGGGACTTATTACGAGTAAATAAGTATTTAAAAAAAAGATCAGTGTGAAGGGGTTTTGTGATGAGGAGCAATAAGTCCTTAAGTATACATTAAATCAAAATAGTGTTTTAGACAAGATTTTTAAAAATGAAAACATACAAATAAAATTAATTAAAGACGAATTAGCAAAAAAATATGCTATATAATAATTAATTTGATCGAATGTTCGCCGATGTTATGTCTGAAGAAAGGATCATTGATCCACACTCACAATTAGATCCACACTCACGTGTGTTTCATATTTTTCTTTATTGTTATTAAATTAATATATATATATATATATCATTCGTATTTATATATTTATACGTATTTATATATTTATATATTTATATGTGTATGTATATAACAGCGACAAGTACAATAATAATGTTATGATTATTAATAATAATCGAAGGATATCGATGATTATAGTGAGAACCGAGGGTAAAATAATTATTGCAATGATATTAACAATGGTAATCATAATAATGATAATGATGGTGATTTAATAATAATAAGTTGATCGATCCTTTTAATTAATACAGTCGTATATATTCCCTTAAAGTCCGTCCTTAATACTTATATCGCGCTTTTATAGTTACAGGGATACAGAAAAATAATACCGCGCGGCTGTGGTGGAATGTTCTTTTTTTAAGTCGTATATAATATACATATATATGTATAATATTTATATAAAAGAGGCGTGAAAGCCTTAATTAATTAATTACAAGCTAGCGCCGCCGCCCGTTTTATTTACACCGCAAAAATTAAGCGAATTTTAAGAAAAAGACGTACAAAAATCCATTATGCGAAATTGAATCATTAATCTTTGAAATCACAACTCGATACGAATATAACAAATATTTTTGTGCTTGCATGTCGTCAGAACGCAAATTTTCTTAAAATTCTGTAAGAATCCTAACTTATAATTTTTGCTTCATATTCTTAATTTCGTATTTTGCATTATCGTATTACTTGTCAATATTCAAAGAAAAATTCACAGAAATAGAAGAAAATTTAAAAATATTTTGTCATTTAATGGAATTACTGGTTATAATGTATGTTTTAATAAATCGGAAGTATAAAAAATAGCCCCAGTTGTCTACTAACCAGCTCAAACTTTTTCGAAATCAAAATAGAATACAAAGAGATGAAAAAGCATTGTCGAAAATGTTATATTAGACTTCAACAAAATGTTGGAAAATCTTAAAAATAATACGATTAAAGTGTTTAGCCGATTTTCAACTATAAAAACTAAGATTCTTATTTCGCAAAAGAGAATTTTCGTGAATCCCCTTCCGAATTCGCCTATTTTTCGCGGGGTTTTTTTTGTAATTATTAGGATTAATCGTAGCTTTACTTACATCCTATCTGCCGATCAATTTTACACACACGAGCTGCACTATGTAGATCCTTGGTCCATTTTTGACGCATACGTTTATTTACAAGGGCGGTGATTCGCCTCATCGCAAAAATTACAAGTCAACCGCGCGATCGGAGATTTGTGAAACTTATCAAGAAAATTTTTC